TTGTCTTTCCCCACTCCCTTTTTGAATTGTGAGCCGCCCTGAGTCCCCTTAGGGAAAAGGGCGGCATACAAATAAAGGCAAAACAAAAACAAAACAAATAAAGTTCTGTTGCAGTATACCATAGAGGGGAGTGTGGCATCAACCAAACGGGGTGACATCAGATTACTTATGCAATCAGTATTTTTCTATGGTCTATTGAGATATATGAAATGAGATGACATTTGCCTAAGTTATATTCTAATGGTTTTAAAAAAATCAAACATGTACCTATCTAGCAAGTTGAACAGGAATAAAATTGGTTGACAAAACAGACCAAATTTGCTATTTAAGGCTATTGCCATTTAATACTATTATGAAGTATTAATTTGTCATTTGATGCTATTTTATGCTATTTGCCATTTAATCTTGTTTATTAATTATTCTTAATTAACTGAACATTATGTCTAAAGTACTGGCATTTGTGATCCGTAGTCTAGTCTAAGATAAGAATTATTTTTGTCGTTAAAATAAATGAGATAATAAATAAGAAGGAATTATGTCTACAAATGTTTCAGCTAAAATTCTAATATAATACAACAGTTTTTCCCAACCCAATAATCTCCAAATATATGGAACTATACATTTTTGGAAATCATAGAGAATATGACCAATGGCTGGAAATGCTTAGGAGTTGTAGTTCCAACACATATGTGTATCCTTGGGTTGGGGAAGGTTGTTATACATAATTTGATTTAAGAGACCCTGATGTGATAAATGGGATGTTAATAAGTGAAAACAACAACCTTCTTATAAAAAGAATCAAGGAATAATTTAAAGCAAGGTCAGGATCAAATAATTAATCTCTGGAAACTATTTCAGTTTTAAATAGAGTTTTAACCATAGAGTGAACTTTCATGTTAGAAACAGTTCTATCTCACATGCCCTAATAGGTTATTTTTCTTCATTAATATTATTTGGAAATACTTTTTAAAAACTATTAATGCGGATTCACAAGATGATTTTGGTTGGATTCTATGATGTATATAATTATTCAAACTGCATTTGTACATATTTATTGTATTTCATTATATTTTTAATTAGGCAAATAAATTATACTAAGAAATCAACACTATCCCCTGAACTATCAATTTAAATTTGGTTCCACCTTCTATTTAATTTCAGATTTGATTTGGTGGGTTTTGGAGTATAAATCAAAATAAAATAAAATCATGCAGCCTGAAATTTGCCTATCTGGAACTACAATTATCATAACAAAGAGAACATCTAATATCTTTTTTTCTCTGAAGCAAATGTAATAAAAAGTATAGATTTTAACATACAAACCATAGATTAATTCACATTTTTTGTCTAGGTCCAATTAAAAACTATTAAACTGATCAATTTGGTAGCCTTACCAGTTCACACCACTTTAAGTTAACCAAAGATTTTTTGTTATGCTTGCTGCAGCCCAACCTTTTCCTTATTCTAAAAATAATGAAGGGTTATAAGATATAGTTTAGAAATCTAACTTGGTATATTGATTAGGGCATCAGGCTCAAAACAGTCTATCAATTATACTCCCTTCTTAAGAATAGCAATAGCAGTAGACTTATATACCGCTTCATAGGCCTTTCAGGCCTCTCTAAGCGGTTTACAGAGAGTCAGCATATTGCCCCCAACAATCTGGGTCCTCATTTTACCCACCTCGGAAGGATGGAAGGCTGAGTCAACCCTGAGCCGGTGAGATTTGAACCGCTGACCTGCTGATCTAGCAGTAGCCTGCAGTGCTGCATTTAATGAAGCCAACAGGGTGAACTTGGGCCAGGCTGTCCCTGTCAGTGTTAGAAAGCATTGCAAACCCCTTCTGAAAAACCCTGCCAAGAAAAGGGCAGGGCCTTGACTAAGCAGTTGCCAGGAGTCGATGGTACACACACAGACAAACCCCAAGATATATCCCAGTGTCATCATAAATCTTCACACACTGATGGTAGGAAAGAAGTGTGTCTCATATGCATTACTTGAAGAAGTCAGCACTGCATAGTGTTTCTTAGAAATCAGATTTGTAAAAGTGAGATCTTGATGTATTCCTCATAGAATATTTTTAAAAAATTAAAATACTCTAATAATAGATAAGACTATATATTTTCATTAGAAATAACAGAATATTTATATTATTATCACATTTCATACAAAGCTTAAAGAGATTAAATTACCAAAAAAAGTAGACACAATTATGTTAGGCAAAATAGTTACAACTGGAACAAAAATCCCAGTATCATCTTCCAATTTAATTCAGACCAGCAGCTGAAATAATAAGAACTCTTCTAAATATGTAATGTTTTATGTGTTAATATTCACTGACAGTTGGATAAAATTCTTCTGACAAATTCTATTGAAACTGAAAACAATCTCAGTCAATGAAGTCCACAATTAAATTACACGCCCTTCTCTCTTTTAAACTTCATGTCCATTGATTTCATTTGATGGTGCCTTCAGGTTCTATTATTTCCATTGATTTTTATAGCTCTGTAACATTCTTTATCTTTCTGGTTTTCTTATTTTTTGTGTGTGCAACAGAAGATATACACGATGCGACAGAATCATGTGAAGCTTTGTCCTATGTTTTTACTAGTTTTTCACTATCTTAAATATATTTTCACTGGATTTTAATCAACCAAAATTCTCCATGTATTATTTTTTTGTTAATGTAAATGTTCCTATGATCCTGATTACTTAAAGTCCAGAAACATTCATCAGCCATTTATATATTTAAAACCCAGTTTTACATACACACACAAACATGATTCAAAGCAGTTAATTGTGCAATTCAGTACAAAAAATATAATTACAACCTTATCACTACTTAAAACTTATTTAATAAGAACCCCATCTTTAAACTTCAGATTAGAACCTTACTTTTCAATAGATCAGTGTCAGCCTCTGTTTTGCTGCTTGCTTTTCGGCTGCCATTGAAACGGGGAGGGCATGGTATTTGGGTAAGGGAAATAATCTGTGCAGGAGGACTGTTAATTGGGGGTTCTCACCATCCGTTTGCGCATGTGGAAGGAGGGGAGCTTCCCGCCGAGGCCAACTGTCCAGCATTCCATCCTGATGATGATTTTTGAAGATGTCTCCCACCTGACAGTTGGGTGATATATGATTGGACTATGGACCGGGGTACCAAGGGGAGGGGGATGAATCATGTATTGATATCTATTGCTTTCGCGCTCTTTTACTCAGATCCAGCTTTGCTTTGCTTCTCATTGTTTATAATCAGTAAAAGTACACTTAATTCTAAAACATGGAGTTGAGTGGTTTCTTTCTTGGTTATTAAGTGAAGGACAATCAGTTTAAATGGCAAACACCAATTTGGGTAAAAGATAATAGAGATAGGATGCCCTGAGATTGTTTCCCATGGTTTCCCCACTGACTTTTCTTGTAAAAAAACTGGCAGGGAGTGTTAGAAATGACAACCACATAACCAAGGCTAATTGTACTGGTGCAGCAGCAGCGAAGCAGCGCAACTTTACCAGATTTCAATCTTCAAGGTGTCATGGGTTGCAGATTTTGGACCCATTCTTTAAGTTAGCTTATTTGAGGTGCATTGATTCAAAAATTGTTGCTCTGTGATGCACTATTTCACCCACTTGAAAGTTACAAAAAAATCAAACAGACATGCAAATTTTAATAGTATATAGTGGTATACCTGGAATGCTCTGTCTTCTTATAGCTAGTGCTCCATCGGGTGGCTTTGACTGGTTTGCAGATTTAGTATATGGACTGTCATCTGAAACAAAGAAAACACTTGACATTGGGCATATATTTTAGCTGCAGTCCTCAATATATTATATCGTTGCTCCATAGGACAAGAAAGAAAAAAAATGTTGAATGTTAAATGAAGACTTAATTTTAATCTGATTCTCAAGCAGCTTTTAACAAACTATAAAATATTTACACAGGTCTATTAGTTACTATTTGCATATTTACGTGCTTTAAGAAAAATGGATGAGAATCTCAGAGAATAAGATTATTTCAGATCTCATAACAAGATGCTATAAATAACAATAATAGGAATATATTTATTTTAAAAATTACAAAATCCTTGAAAATGTAACTTTTCCCTTTATTGCTTTAAGCCTTGGAATTCTTTTGGAAATCACTTCTAAGTAACAAAACCATTATGGAAATTAGCTTAATTATTATAGAGCCTGTACCCATTTATCACTTTTCCTCCCCATTCTTATGGAAGAGGTTTCTCCTCTTACAAGGAGCCAAAATGATTAGATATCTGCAACCAGGCCCTCGGCCAAGAGATGCCAAGATCTCAAAGCAATCTCCATACAAAATTACACAAGAATAGGAGAATACATAAAGTCATGAATAAATAATTTATTACTAAATTATTTAGTAATATAAGAATTACTAACTAATTCTTTAGTTACGATGGGAAAATGCCCTCCACCTGCAGAGGCTGGCTTCTTAAGGTCATCCTAGAATGAGCCTTCTTTACTAAATGAACATATCAGTAAGTCATATAGTAGGAAGGATCTGCATTTGATTACTCATTATCATAGCAATGGGAATGACCTTCTTCACATCCCTGTTCCAGAAAATACCATGCCTGGGTTCTGTTACCTGTTTTTTTGAGCAACTGGCAGAAGTTCATTGTTCTGAAAGAGTAATATTGCCTTTGTAGTGAATTATGTACAATTGATCACGTGATGCACCTAGAGATTTGCTTCAAGTGAATCCCTACTGCAGTGCAATTGTTAAGTGTAGGAAAATGGGAGTCCAGGCAGTTAAAATGAATACAGATTTATTGTATGCAAATGCCTTTCAAGCAGATTCTTGTAGAGCAGGGGTGTCAAATTCAAGGTCCGGAGCTCAGATCTGGTTTGCCAGATACATAGAAATGACCCGTGGGACCGCCCTGGAAATAATGAAGGACCGGTCTGCGGTCCTTCTGCCAGCAAAAATGGGGTCCCAAGCTCCATTTTGTGGGCAGAGGGTTGCAGGAGGCTGTGGCAGTCAAAAACAGATCTCTGGAGCCTGTTTTCACTGGCAGAGAACTTGGGCCACTACAGGCGCCTCCGACATGAGTGATGTTGAGTAGGCCATGTCCATCCTGACCATGCCCACCCCAGCCCCCGGGGTCAAACACAACCCTGATGCAGCCCTCAATGAAATCGAGTTTGACACCCCTGTTGTAGAGGGTGTTAGCATACAATAAACCTATATTCTCACTACTAATGGTCAAAACAAATTGGTGGCAGGTAAGAGTCAACAGAATTTGAGGTGGACTGGACTTATATCTCTTGTGGGAGTAAAAGGACTCAAACTGATGACATGTTTGACCCTTCCTTTGGTTGGGTCATCTCCTATAGCACCACACACCTAACATGTAACATTTTATTAGTGATACTACATAAATAGATATGTACGACCCATAAACTTTGAAATTCTTCCATACCAATGGGCTCAAACATTCTGATAAGTCATATTGTGGGTTGTTAAGTTTGTCTTAGAAACTGATGTCTGATATATGGTATAGATCTCACTTAGCAACCACAGTTGGGACTGGCAACTCCCTTACTAAGCCCTGTAATTGTTCAGTGAAAAATCATGACACTACAATGGATATACAACATCACTTCTCATACAGTTATTAATCAAGTCATTGTGGTCATTGAGACATTACAAGGTCAACTTGTTATTTTACTTCTGTGCTCTATCTTGTTGGAAAGACAATACTTGTTGGAAGCCAACTGTGAAGGACAGGAATAGTAATCACATTGCCATCACATTCTATGCTAGTAGAAAATGGAAGAATTGGTTGCAAAGGATTTTTAAAATCAACTTTATCATAATTTTGAATGATCTTTAAACAAGGTGTCTGTGTGTGTGTGTGTGTGTGTGTGAGAGAGAGAGAGAGAGAGAGAAAGAGAGAGAGAGAGAGAGAGAGAGAGAGAGAGAGAGAGAATGAATGAATCTTGACATATCCATATCAAAGCAGATGGGTAATGGAATTCCATTGGTGGAATTAGTAGTAAAGCAATTGTCACTCAATAAGCTCTGTTAATTTATATGTGTCTTTAGTCCTGGCAAACATACAACACTCATTTTCTTCTCTTTCTCTACTCTTTCCATTGTCTTGAATTCTCAGGCTAGCCTAATTGTGTGCTAGGGGAATTATGATATCTAAGGCACGTCCTTCAGACAAACCTTCCTTGTTTTGGTCATATCACTGACTACTGTAAGAAAGGCAATCATAATAGCACACAATATGCCAATGTTGTCTAGTTTTTCAAGGGCTGAGAGTTTTCATTGCATCGGTGTAGCTATCAGTATTAGAAACAGAAAATAAGCTAAGAAATGAAACCATTTTATTGAGACTACCACACGTAAGCACACAGACATTATTTTGCAGATGTTTGCATCTTTGTCTAGTGGAAATAAAATGACTGTGGAAATACATTAATTGAGCTGCATGTTTTTCAAAAACTTCCAACTGCTGGTGGCCCTGCAATATTATATTTAGCTACATTATCAGCATGCTGCCTTCATGCATATTTTACAATATAGACTGAGTGTCTTCCATAATTCTGCATTATTTCCTGAAAGCTTTCAGCATTCTGAAGCTCTCGGAGGCCGTGTCTTTGCCTTTGTGCTTATTATGTGCATTTTTTACATCAGCTTTTAAAGTTCAACTGTAGTAACCAATCCTAGTATTGTACTGTTCCACTTTACTCAAAGAAATAGATTAATAAAAAAGAAAAGAAAAAGATTTATACAATCTGAAACAAAGGTATGACTAATAAAAGTAGTTTCTGTTGAAGACTAAGTATAGGTAGTCCTTGACTTACAACAGTCTGTTACAGTTCAAAGTTACAATGGCACTGAAAAAAAGTGACATGTCCATTTTTCACACATCCTTTACAGCCTCCCCATGGTCATATGATCAAAATTCAAATGCTTGACTCATATTTATGATGGTTGCAGTGTCCCGGGGCCATGTGATCAACTTTTGAAAATTGACAATAGGGAAGCAAATTCACTTAACAACTGCAGTGATTCATTTAACCACTGTATCAAGAAAAGTCATAAAATGGGGCAAAACTCACTTAACAATTCTTTCTCTTAGCCTCAGAAATTTTGGGCTTGATTGTGATCATAAGTCGAGGACTACCTGTATACAATAGCTATTGTTTTAAAACCTGACTGTCATTCCTAAAATACAGTAGTTAGGTCTGTGTAACAATGATTCTGTGCTTAATTGTTTCTTTCAAAAATATTCCCCAACTCTTTAGAGTACATTTCATTTAGCAGCTCCTTTAATTATTGACAAAGCAATAAGATTGAATGTTGTACATACATTCACACACATTATTCAATATAAAGTTGTTATAATTAGTATTTCCACTTGATAAACCATGCAAGAGCTGTAAGATAAGGGTACCTATCTGTCATCTAAACCCTGAGCCTGATTATATTATCATTTGAGAAAAAGTAAACCTCATGTGCCTTTTTTGCCTAGCATTAATTCGAACATATCATGGCCAAAAAATGTTTGCTTACCAAGGATGCAATTGATTTGTGCAATAGTCTTGTGATTATGGTATGGGTGCATACATTTACAGAGGTAAGTATCAAACCCTAATCCATTTGGTGGGAAAGAGACCACAAGACAGATGAAATAAGTGGACATAATCAATTGGCGTACAAAACTTGCTGGTGGACAAAAATTTGGCAGACACAGAAAAAGAACAAAAGCCCAGAACTATTATTTTTCTACTTAAGTATATGTTACTGTGATAGAATAATGCAATTTTTATTTTAAAGCCTTTCCATATGTAATATAATAATAACTTATTACATTTATATGCTGTTCAATTCCCAGTTTATAAATAAAAAACAATTAAAAACAACAGCAAAAAACAGAGTAAAGATGGCAAAAATAACAAAGTCAGATGTGTACTTAAAAAAGTGTCTAGGGTTCTGACACTGGCATTATTTAATCAACCGAACTAAGAGAATACCAATCCTTTCACATTGCATCAGCTGGGCAGATACAATGGGAGACAGGTATTTCCTCAAGTAACCAAGCCCCCTACCATTGGAATACTATGTGGAAATGATCTTGGGATATGTGGTGGGGGAGGAAGGAGGCAGCGATGAGGGGATGAGGGAGAGATGTTGAGGGAGAGATGATAAGCAAGAATACAGACTGAAATTGCATAATGGGTGGAGAAAGAGGCTCAGAAGAAATACTAGCTTCTTGGGCTGTAAAGGAGATGGAGGAAGATTTTTAATTTCAGACTTGCAAGATTCTGCTGTTGTAGCTTTGCAGTAAAGTTGAATTAGCTATCTGGTTGTGTTTCCTGTCTGATCTATCTGCGAAGGTTGACATCAATCTTGCAAGTCTGGACTCTGCCCACTTCCCATCTTCCAAGGTCATTCCCATATACTATAAGAGCCAAGAAAAGTTTTATAGGAGTGATCAATCCCATGAATAGCACAAGAAGCAAACTGGCAACCAGTGCAGCTTGCAAAGCAGAAGTATTATATAGCCATACCGAGGCTTGCCCATCATTACCTGGACTGCTGTGTTCTAGACCAGTTGAAGCTTCTAGATGCTCTTCAAGGGCAATCTCATGTAAAGCACATTGCAGTAATCAATCTGTGAGGTGACCAGGGCATGAGCAATTGACTGAAGAGCCCCCTGATCTAGGAGAGGACACAAGTGGTGCACCATATGGAACTAACTGTGCAAAGGCCAATGGGTCACAG